GTGAACAAATGGAATTTGATATATTATTTTAATGTTTATTTTTCCTAGAAAAATTTCTTACAGATGTCTTCCCTTTTTGTAGTTCCAAAAACACAGAAGATTAATATGGCCACCTAGAGGAGAAAACATGATCAACAAATATGCTATCACATTTTCATACTTTTTCTAGAATATCTGTATTTCAGATTTATAACATACAAACTGCTCTAAAGGACCAACCAAAGAGGTTCATGTTGTATGAAATAGACTTGAGGAGAATATTAAAGTAGCAGTGATGACCTAACAAAAGCCAAACAATATTAATTTTGCAGTCAACTTGACAGGCACAGTTTTTATAACTTGCTATGTACCTCTTTAGGTTAAAAATTACTTAATCAACCTAAAGTCTCTTTCTTTTTTGCAAAATGGGAATAACCTTACCTCCACAATGAACTGCAATGAAGACTAAACATGACAATGTGTACAGAAACTAACAGAGTTAGGCACATAGTAGGAGTTCAATAAATGGTAGATCTTACTACCGGATCAAAGTTCTCCTGCACTGGTCTCTCCTAATTCTGATTCAGGCCCTCTCTAACCTTCCCTATCTTGCACATTTGTTTCTAATATTAGCTGCTCTAAAGCTTCTCTACCGGAATTAATTAGGGTGTTGTGAAATGAACTAAATAAACCTTTCTGAGCAGCACTAATGAGATAACACCATGCCATGTAAAAAAAATGTATATTTTAAAATATTTTTCTACCTTCTAATTCCTTTTATATACTTCAACCTTCATCAGTCAAATCTGACCTTTATAAATGTCTGTGATGGTAACATGCACAATAAAGGGTCAGAGAGCAGTAAGAAGTGTTACCTACTCTATTCATCCCTTTACTTGTGCCTCAGGAAAATGAACCAAATCCTTACAAAAGAACTGTACCCAGTGGTCCTCTCAGGTGAGCAGCCATGCAGTGAGCATGTTTCCGCAGAGGCAGCTGTGCTGAGGGGCAACCCTCTGGCGGAGAGCCACATGTATATTAGAAACAAATTTCCCTCCTTCCCAAATCTATATCAGAGGAGTGTGACTATCCGTGTGGGTAGGAGGCAGAGGTGAACAGCTGGGTTACGAACTGCTTCAACAACCTCTTTCTTGACTCTCGAAGTTGATAAGGAAAGAGTAGGTGAGTAGGTTGTTAAGAAAATGTAGGCAGCAAATGTACTTTCTTACCACTTTTTCTCTCCTTAACAACATTCAATCTGACTTACCTCCTTATTACTCTACTCTAGTAAAACTTCAATTGAAAATTATTGATCAACTTCTATTTGACAAAGGGGCTTGTTCAATTCTCATCCTCCTCAATCTCTTTGCCCTCCTTAAAACTCTTCTTCCATGGCTGGTAAAATATAACATTCTCCTGATTCTTCTCTTTATCTCTTTTACTATTTCTTCTGTTTATTTACATGATACCTTTAATTCTCTTATCAAAGGAAATGATCTTCTAATCTTTCCTCTCCACACATTCTCCCTCATCAACTTAATCCATTCCCATGGTTTCTATTCGTTAAGCATATATGATCTGAAAATTTCTCCCCCATCTGTGTTCATGATTGCAAGATTAATAGCCATTTTCAATTGCTTAAATATTCTGCCTTATCACATGCATAAAATCACTTATTATATCTCCTACTCACTCCTCACTTCCAACAAAAATATATCCCCCTCTGGATTTCATATTTATGTTAATGACCCCATCATTTTCCTAGTCATACATGATGGAAACCAGCGTCATCTTTCATACTTCCTTTCTTTTTCTACTGTTCCAAATACATTCAGTTCCTAAATCCAGTAAAATCTACCCCTATAATACCTCTTCTATATTCTTGTATTCCTATTGCCACTACTGTAATTCAGATTTTATCATTTTCCACATAGACTACTCCAAAGACCTCTTTAACTGATGTCTGTCTCCCTTTCTAATCAAATTATCCTGTTCTTTCCCCACCCCACTGAGCCTATTTCTCACTTTGAGCTTTTAATAAGCAATAACCTGTGATACACAAGCTATTCTCTCAGGCAATTGTCATTTTACATCATCAGTTGGTCTCTCCCCATTCTAAACCTCCATAACAGCATTTTAACAAGGATATTCTACAGACACATCAAACTCACCACAGTGAAACTAAATGATCTTCTCCCAGAAACTTCTCTAATGCTCTCTTCATTAAATATCTTGATTCCTCACTCACTGCACACATTCAGTCATTCATCAAGATATGCTAAGTCCATCCCTAAATCTATGTATTCTTCATCCCTAAATTCATTGCTAATGAGGATCTCATCATTACCTAACTGGTCCTTTCTGCCTCCTGTATTTCCTACTTCCAATTCATCTTCTGTTACAAGAGTTAGATAATGTTTCTTTAAAGCACTGATCTGAAAGTGCCTCACTTTCCTGCAAAAACCTATGAAGGCTCTATATTTCCTGTGAGACAATATCCAAACTCCTGAGCAGGGCATTCAGTCCTATTAACTGCCCCTTTTTCAAACACAGATCCTAAGTTAGAGGCACTGAAATAAACTTTCCTTTGGTTTCGCTATTTCATCAAACACCATTCCATGCTTGCTTAAGTAGCTCTCAAATCCAGTTCATCTAATCTGTAAAGACTCCATTAGATTTCCCCATATCTCTCCCTCCCTCTGTCATTCTACAATACTTTCTTCATGTAACTAACAGGCCTCTCAGCATATTGCATATATACTCACCAGTCTTCCTCCCCAAGTTTGTAGCCTCTTTGAGAGAAACAAGCTTGTTTTATTCACCTTTATATTGCACTATCTAGCACAGTGTATGGCACATAAAAAGCTTTCAACAAATGTTTATGAAATAAATGAATCTAATTAAAGGATGCCTAAAAATCAATCTCTCTAGAGGTTTTATCAAATAATTTAGGATAGAAATTTGTAGAAAAGTGCAGGATGGGTCCTAAATATACACGTGAAATGAAATGAGAAAGCAATTCTGGGACACCTAGACCAGTTCCGGAGGTTAAGGCAAGAACAGCAGAGCCACCTAGGCTGTACCTCTCTCCTCATGGCTCTTCCCATAGGCTATAAAGTCATGCTAGAATAACAAAACTACAGAGAAGAAGCTGTCAAGACAACAGAGGGGTACAGGGGTGAGAGGAAAGGAGGAGTGAGGGGGGAAAAATCCTGAATGTATATACAAAAAGAGAAGTGTTTAGGGTCGCAGATGGCAACTCATGAGTACCCATTATCATCACCATCACTGTTTTCACTACCATCATCTTCAACTGCATTTACTGACCACTTACCTATCAGATACCAGACACTACAGTAAAAACTGTACCATATATATCATTTAATTTTCAAGGTCAGTATTATCTACACTTTAGAGAAAATAAAATAAACCTAAAAACAATTAACTATACTTCCATAGCTAATATGTTAAGAGATAGAGCCAGAATGTCAACAAGGATCAGCTTTCAAAACCTATTCTCTTCCTGTTCTACTATCCATGTGCTAAAGGTGTACATAAGTTGGGTACTAGTTTTACTGCTTTGCATTATTTATCTTTATAAGCACATGTCTTGTTTTTCCTAGTAAGAAAAATGTATTTCTGAGAGCAGACTACATATCTAATATTTTTCACTTATTTCCATGCATCTCATCATGACCATTCTATACAGTAATACTATAGCATTTGATTATTATTATACCTGTGTACAAGCAGAAATAAAAATGAGCTGTTATCAATCAGTTGGCATAAAGCCAAATAGAAAAACAGATGGGCTGGGCACAGTGGCTCACGCCTGTAATCCTAGCACTCTGGGAGGCTGAGGCGGGTGGATCTTTCAAGCTCAGGAGTTTGAGACCAGCCCGAGCAAGAGCGAGACCCAGTCTCTACTACAAAATAGAAAAAATTAGTCAGGCATGGTGGCACATGCCTGTAGTCCCAGCTACTCGGGAGGCTGAGGCAGGAGGATCTACTCTAACCCGGCAACAGAGTGAGACTCTGTCTCAAAAAAAGAAAGAAAAACAGATGATTTGGTCTTTGACAACTGCATGTGCTGCGATACGACTTCAATTAATCAACAGTAATAGGCCCTAAAACACAAATCATCACCACAAAATCAAGAACAGTTGTGTTTCTGTATAATAATAAATATGATATCTAGGATATACTGTTCTTTCCTTCATTTATGGCTATAAAGATAATAATTACAAAGAGTAGTCATACATTGTACCAAGCAAGTGAACAATTTATTAATGTGGAAATACACTTTAATTAATGGCAAAACCTTTTTTATGTTACAGAAAGATTTAAAAATATGCAAGAATGGACTTGTATCTTCTACGTAGGTTGAGTTCTAAAGTCAGTTTTAGCACGTAAGGCAAAATCAATTAGAGATAAAATAATCCTTGAAATTGCTAAAACCCTTGAAAAAGCCTTAAATTGCCTTTAAAGCATAGCACGATACAGTGCCAGCTCTCAATAAATCCACCTCAGACAGTTTTTCCTCCCACACAGAACAGATTACCATTTCTTCTGCTGTGTGCCATGTGAAGCACTTGGCTGATGTTTCGGGGCCATATTGAATGGAAAAGCATACATTTACACACTGGAATCATATTCAACACCATGAGACACTTAGACTCTATCAGTTCCTATAACAGGTACAGAAACTGATTCCACCTGAGAGAATAGCAGATTCACATCTTCCACCTCATCCTTGTTAGGCACATGTTCGCTGTGAAATGAGAGCTACCATGATCGCATTATTTAAATTATTTTGTGCTTTGCTTTTGGATGTTTTGGTATTGGTTTTGATTTTGGCTTGAGCCCAAAGATTTGAATTTGAATAAATTACATTCCCAGAAACTTGACTCTACTCTATGTGCTCTCTTGTTTATTATGGAACAACAGATGCCTAGAATTTCAGGCACAAGTAATCTAGTAATACAGCGTGTAATGTAAAAAAATAAAATAACCTATCTTACCTTCATCTATTGATGCTTCACTACTGTATCCATCATACTCTGCAGACAGAGGACTGTATTTCTGTCTTGTTTCCCAAGCATAGTTCTTTTGTCTAGCATCTGCCAATGGTAGTCTGGAATTGTGTGTTCTGGATAAGGCCTCATGATATTTACCCAGTGCTTCATCTTCACTTTCAGAGGATGAGCCATGCTCATCTTTGTCCATGTAGGAATTATCTATTTGGAATAAGGAGAACAAATGATCATTTTTTTGGCCCTCCCTTCATTTACTTACCCTAGTGGGCCTCTCCCAATAATAATTTTAATGCAATGAAGAATGTCAAATTTGCTAAAGTTATAATACACACACACACACACACACACACACACACATATACATATGCACACAACAAATATATATGCACATATATATACATATACATATAACATGAATATTTAGCTTTAAAGAAATATAATTTTGTCCTGTAAGAAGTCTAAAATTTATATTTTTATGCTTTAATTAAAAAAATCAGGTTGTATACTCCAATTATACAAATAATGTTAGTCACAGGGATTTTTCAACTATGGTACATATAAAGGAAATTATAGTATTTGCCATTTTACAAAAGTTTTTAAAGGATCAGTAACACATACAAATTAAGTTATAAAAACTGCCAGGACATATGGACCAGATTCATATTTGATAATAATTTGTGTTACATGACACATTTTTTGATTCTCATTTTGGCCAAAATTTTCAAAACTGACAATGCTCAGTGCTAGCAGTGAAACATAGAAATGGACATATAGTTTTCTCTCTAGGAAAGTTATAATTGGTACAACTTTCCTAGAGAGCAATTTGGCAAAATATATCAAACTTTTAAATCCTCATAATCTTTGATCCATTTGTAGGAATTTATCAATTCCATTTCTAAGCATTCAACCTAAGGAAATAATTAATAGATGACCAAAGATATATTTTTAAATCAATTCACTGCATTGTGTTTACTAGTAAAAGAACACCAAAATAAGATTATAACCTAAATGTCCATTGGTGGGCCTTGGTTAAGTAAACTATCATATATCTACTCAATGATATACTATATAGTCTTTAAAAGTGAGGAGATGGGCCTAGTGTGGTGGCTCACGCCTATAACCCTAGCACTCTGGGAGGCCGAGGTGGTGGATAGTTTCGGCTCAGGAGTTCGAGACCAGCCTGAGCAAGAGTGAGACCCCGTTTCTACTAAAAAAAATAGAAAGAAATTAGCTGGACAACTAAAAATATATAGAAAAAATTGGCCGGGCATGGTGGCACATGCCTGTAGTCCCAGCTACTCGAGAGGCTGAAACAGAAGAATTGTTTCAGCCCAGGAGCTTGAGGTTGCTGTGAGCTAGGCTGACGCCACGGCACTCTAGCCCAGGCAACAGAGTGAGATTCTGTCTCAAAAAAGAAATGAGATGAACTTAGAAGTATTCACAGGGAAAGAATAACTACACCACCATGTTAAGAGAAAAGGTTATAAAGCAGAAGGTATAATTATATTCCCATTGAAATACACACACACACACACACACACATGCAGTATATACACACACACTGCAGCATATGTATGCACATACAAAAATGTCTGGAAGGATATACATCAAACTTTTAACACTTATTACCTGTGAAAGATGGGATTACTAGGAAAACTTTACTTAAATACATCTAAAGTTCAAACAAAATTTTCAGGAGATATAAATTGTATATTATTTTTAAAAGGACTAATTATTATCATCTTTTTTAAAAAAGATAAACATTTTGAAACTGAACCATGTTGACTTTCACTTAAACCAAGATGCAACTTTCCTAGAATTATAAAACAATTCTAGAAAGGTGAAGAAATCACAGTAATTAGAATTCATTAGTTCAATCAGTTTATTTTTCTCTTTATACTCAGTTGAGATCAGTAAAGGAATCAAAGTTGAAATTTGGATGGGAAGCACAGAATATGAAATTTTAAAATACAGAACAGAAATTAAATATTTTGAGTTAGGAACTTAGATGTTATATAGTCTAAGTCCCATTTTTTAATTCAGTAAAATAAAGCCATGAAAGGGTAACACTATAACCAGTGTCACATTCTGCACTGCCCAGTATGTATCAAATAGTCACCTGTGGCTATTTCGATTTACACTAATTACAATTAAATAAAACTTAAAATCCAGTTTCCATGCTACTAGCCACATGTCAAGTGCTCAATAGCCAAGTGGCTGTATGGAACAATGCAGACATGTAAAATTTTTCCATTGCTGTAGAAAGTTCTATTGGGCAGCACTGAGATGATGGCAGAGCTGGTCTAGAACCAAGGCCCTCTTGGCTCTCAGTTCAGAGCTGTTAGCCCTTTGTGGTATGTCACGGTGGTAATCTTAAGGCAGCACAGGGGCTCTGAGTCCCTTGAGGCGGGTAACTTTCTACAGTCAAACTTCACCTATTACAAAATGTTACCTAAAGTGTCCCTGCATTCAGAAATAAAGAAGAAATCTCTTCTTTTTCTTTCTATAGCTTATAATCCCTATGTCAGAACCTAGAACACAGGTACTAGTAATATTACAGTTCAGCTATATGAAGGGTTAATCTATGGGTCAAACATCTTTTGGAACAATTTCTGGAACACTGCATGTTTTATTACTAAGTATATTCTCAAATACTGATATTGGTTTCTTTAGTTATCAACATGCTTCTTAATGAAAACAAATAAAAAATTTAAAACTCTGTACTGCTATTTCTAATGTATTTATTACTACTACCTATTCTAATGTTACTTTCTGAATAAAATAATGTATAAACTATTTCACTTTATATCTTTATTTTTGCTACTTCAAGTAATAACACTACATACTACCAAAACTAAACAATGGCTACCAAAAAACAGTAAATCTGACATTCAGAAACTGCTAGTAGACTCCAAAATGGATAATTTTCGAAAGTGGCATCCCTTTGTAATTAGTTCATTCATCCTGGATCAGCCTCTCCTACATCATTTAAAAACCATCCATGTACTTGATAAATAGCAGATCCCTATTATTTATGCAGTCAGGTAGCAGAACTGAGAAAGTCGTCTTCATTTCTACTGCCACTCAATTTCTTGTTATTTTACAAGAATCTGAACTTATAAAAAAATTCCAAATGTGTATTTTATAAATAAGTGACTTTATTTTTGGACTTGTGATCAGATTAGCAATACATGAAATAACTAAAGAATTACCAGAAGTAAGTACTAGCAGTATAAACTGCTGGTAATGCTTTGAAAATTATCACAAATATTGTAGTTGAAAACTATAGATGCTTAGTCAGAATCTTTTTTTTTTATTTTGGTATATTATGGGGGTACAGATTTTAAGGTTTCAATAAATGCCCATTCTCTCCCTCCCCCCACAAGTCTGAGTTTCCAGCATGACCATCCTCCTGATGGTGCACACATACATATACATACATAATCTTAATTCTATATAGAGAACTCATGAATAATAATAGATTGTTTATATATACTCACTGTAAACAGAGTAGTCATATACAATTTTTAATGTATGGATAAAGACATACCCTGAAGCATGTTATTCAATAAAATAAAATCTATTGCTCTCAAGGAAAAATATAAAGCATTTGATATAGATCTTATTAGGACAGATTTGAAGAGCAAATTGTATAAGGGACTTAGGAGTTAGTTATAAAACATAAAATTTGGCTGGGTATGGGGGCTCACGCCTATAATCCCAGCACTTTGGGAGCCCCAAGCAAGAGTATCACTTGAGGTCAGGAGTTTGAGACCAGCCTGGGCAATATAGTACCTGGGCAATATAGTAAGAACCCATCACTACAAAAAATTAAAACCTAGCTGGACATAGTGGTACATGCCTATAGTCCCAGATACTTAGGAAGCAATGAAGTGAGGTGATTGAGCCCAGGAGTTTGAGGCTGCAGTAAGCTACAATCATGCCACTGCACTCCAGCCTGGGTGACAAAGGCAAGACCTGTCTCTTAAAAAAACAAACAAATATATATACATATAAACTTTAAAATGCAACTATAGCACACCAAATAAACTCAAACTAAAGTATGCATACTACTTAAAAAAATCATGGCGTTTCTGGCTATAAAATAAATGGACATTAAGAAAAATTAGTACTGCTGAAAAATTGGCCAAATAATTCAGGGATCATGGCCAATACTTAGTGGTGTACAAATAACATAAATGCTTTTGAAATGATTTTAGAAAAAATAATGAATGACTTTAAAAATGCTTTCCAGTAAGAGGATTCAAGAAAGTCTTACATTAGACACATAGACGTGTATAGGAAAGTCGAGAAATTTGTCTGATGTTTTACTAATTAAAAAAAAAATCAAGAGAAAATATAATCACTCAAACCAACATTAGGAGACCTCACCTTTTTCTGGTATTATCTTAGAATATTTTTCATCTTTACTCTTTGCTGTTCTTTTCTTGGCAAAAATGGTTTCATTTTTCTTTGTTTCTATTTCTCCTTTCACTTTGTAGTGTTTTGCTGGATTTATCTGTTCCTTGATTTTTCCAGATAACTTATCTTTAGAATTAGTTGATGATGCCGGATGTGTATGTTCTTTCATAAAGGATTTCTGTATCATACGTCTATTGCTTGTCCAAGTATCTTTTGTAGAATATTCATTTCCTGAACACTCATTCCCTGTAAATCCTTTACTTTTAATATGTTTTTCAGCTTTCTTTAAATGATCAGAATGCCCTAAATGAGTAAGATGCTTATATTTATTGAAATACCCCATTTTCTCTTTATTTCCTCCCAAAAATACATGTTGAGGTTTACTATATTCTTCTAGTTCATGATTATCTGGATCAATGCATTTCTTTTGCTCATATATGTTTATCCCGTTGGAATTCTTCTGATTTCCTTTTATTTCTCGGTATCTTACCTCCTCTAAACCATTCTTACCATTATTGGAGATTCCTAATCCAATTTTTTCACATCTGTCACTACCAACTTCTTGACAAGTAGATCCAGCCCTTGTATTCTGTTTCATAACTGATATCCCACCATTACTCATGTGGCCTTTCAAAGAAGAATCACTAATATTACTGGTTTCTTGATATTCTGACAGAGTCTGTTGCCTATCATTAATATGTTTAAATACTCTTTCTTCAGGCATTCCTTGATCTTGCTTTTGTGAAACTAAAGTATTATAAGAATTTATTTGCTTTGCTCTGTGCTCTAAACTGGATTGTGTTTTCTGACAATTAGTGTTTTGAGAGACTTCTGTTAACATGGTATTTTTTTGTTTAGAAGTATCTACAGCTTCTTCTGTTGCGGAGGTTTCCTCTTCTGGGTGAAAGCCACTTATCAAACTTGTTACCTGCTCAGCAACTGAGTCAGTTAAAGCATAGCTGACCTCCCCAACAGCAGTGGTCAAATCTTCTACAGCACTACTGATCGTGTCTACCAGAGACGACACTGAAGGCAGATTCTGCTGAAAATTTTTGAAAAATGCCATTTTCTAATTCCTTGTTCCTAAAATGTATAACAGAATTTTCTCTTCTCAAAATATCAACCACTGGGGAACTTGAATTTATCATTTACTTCAATGTTGCTATTCATCAGCTCAGTATTAGCATTTCACATTGCAGCTTTTAATCTTTCTGTAAATGCATTATGCATTGAAAAAAAAATATGCTGAAGTAAAGACTCTTCAAAAAAAAAAAAAGAAAATCAAACCACTTGGTTTAAATGAACTGACATCTTTTCCTACTCCACAGCTATCATAACAGCAGCAAGACAATATTTTCCCCTCAAATACTATTGGTTTTTTATTCTATACCTGAAAGAAGAAGTATAAAAACAATTTTTATTATATACTTTTAGCTTGCTTATTAATAGTCTATGTAAGGGAACTACCTTATTAACAAACTACCAATATCACTTCAAGTTAAGAAAAATACTAAGGGGAAAATATCTAAATAATTTTGCATAGAGGTTAGAATAGGGGAGAGAGCAGGTGTGGACATCTGCTGAGTGTAAGACGTTGTGATTGACACATTTTATCTTACCTGATCTTACAAGAACTCTAGGAAGTCAAATATTATTATTCCTATTTAATAAATAAAAGGCTCAGAAAAATTAAGAAGGTCCCTGAGACCTTTTCAAGGGATTTTCAAAGTCAAAACTAGTTTTATCAAAATAGTAAAGGGATATTTAACTTTTGTATTCTCATTTACTCACAAGTAAACACTGGGGTTTCCCAGAGGCTACATGACAGAGTGAATGTAGAAGCATATATGAGAATCCAGCTGCCTCGTATTATTCTAGGCATTAAAGAGATTTGCAACAAGTGTAAAACAGCATCACTCTTCTCATTATTTTTTGTTCCAAACTTTTTTTGGTTTTGGAAATACATAGTTTTTAAAATTAGAAATGATATTTATATTAACATGTAATAGTTTTTGTTTTTAAGCTGATTAAAATATTTTTAAAACTTTTCAGTTTTAACTTCTAATATGGTACATATCAATATATACAACCCACATAAAAAGTTTTTTGGGGTCCTCAATAATTTTTAAGACTGTAAAGGGGTCATTAAACCAAAGAAAAAGCACAAATGCTAACCTAGAGAATTACCGAAGGCTGCTAAAAAAAACTTTAACCAGCTCATTCTACACAAATGATCAAAAAGCAGAATTGGAGTACGAGAATCACTAAACTTAACCAAATAAAAACCATATAAAATACTATAGTTTCCTAATGCAAAAGTCACAGAATATAATTCAGTAACTAAGATTCTTATAGGAATGGGGCTAGCACCTTTAAGGGATTAGAAAAGCATCTCTCCAACATGCACAGAAAAAAAGGAGCAAAATTTCTTGGCTACTGTTCCTCAAAATTCTTCTAAATTAAAACTTTGCTTTTATAATTCTCAACTTGCTCCTGCTACTATTTATATAAGCTAATCTTTGAAAATAGTAAATAAAAAATTCTTGTAATAATTAAAAAAAATAACTCCCCAAAAAATGTTTCTGTAAGAGAAAGAATGATATCACAGCCCTCATCTTTCCTGGTATCTAGTAATACTAAGTAACATATGGTGCCAAGGGAGAGGGTGGAATACTATTTTTTTATAATCAGAATTTATATATAAATTACTAGGTAAAATCACTTCCTCCAAACAAAATTATCTATCAGCTAAGATTTAAACAGCAGGTAAAGGAAAAGGGTGAATACTTTCTAAAGTTCTCTAGGTACATGGGGAAAAAACTCTCTAGAGAGCTATTGGACATGGATTTAGGCTACATAAAGTACCAATACATGCCCTTCTTCTTAAAGCATATCTGCTCATATTATAGGCTCAAAAAATACCTTATATATGAAAAATTAAAATGTCATTTTGTGATAGTAGACAATTCACCTTTATGCAATATCTTAGCAATTTGTGGGCAACAGAAGGATACTTGAACATAATTTACTTAAGCGTAGGATTCTTTACTCTTACAAATATTAGTTTACTCTATGTCAAAAACCAACCTTTTTATTGCATATATTAAAATAAATTAATAAAAGAATAGTAAATAACAATAAACAAAGGAAGCAGTAATATGATACTTACAAATTTTATCTTGTGAATTCTTCCTTGTACTGTATTCTGAACCAAGATCTGGAAACCCGCCAACATTTTCAAAACAGAACTTCTTATTAATATAGAGAAAAAGGAGCAGCATCAAGATAATAAACACCCCAACAGCTGACAAAAATCCAACTGCCTCTGGAGATACTAGAGAAAAAAAAGTCACAGCTGTAAGCATTTATTTTTCTTTAAGTGACAAATAAGAAGGAAACCCCATACATAAGTTAATTACTTCCTTATCTGAATTATATTTTTAAATGATGATAGTTTAAAATAGTTTAGTTTATAAGAAAAACAAACTGCAAAGTTTAATGACAGTCACTCAATTTATTCAACAACATTCATTCAAATTTTCTAAAAGTTTCTTTATAAATTGTTGGAACATAGCACTGAGATTTGAGAACAAAAAAAAATATATAAATTGTTGGAACAATCTTACAAAAGACAGGAGTCTACAAAATAGGCAGTTGTCCTATGTTTAATCCATTGAAGAGTATTATAAAGATTTCAACGCAAGAATTAGAAAAAATTATTTCCCTGCATGGGCATATCAAGCAAATTTATGAGAACATGTATTATTATTCTCTCTAAATGCTTCAATGGCCCTTTCTTATTAAATAACCTCTGCACTCCCTAATCTGGCATTTCATGCTCCAGCCTCTGTTTTCAATATTACACTCCAGTCCACTCATTACCTCAGAATCAGCAATATTTAACACCAGACTCCTTGTTCTTGATCATTCTCTTCCCCTCGCCTAGAATGACCAACTCTTCTCTCTACCCTATCTCACTTGTTCACTCAACCAGTGAATATTTTTGGAGCATCAACTATATATCAGGCATTGTTATATACACAGTTTCTGTTTTCCTTGAACGATCTGGTAAAGGCAGGTACGACACAGTGTAGTAAAGGCTATTTACTGGGGAAGAACAGGGACTATGAGAACCACAGGAACACTTAATCAAATGTTGAAGGGTCAACTAAGCTTTTCTGAAAAGTTATGGACCCTATGACTATATTTTAAGAATTAGTAAGAATTATTCCAGGCAGAAGGAACATGCACAAAGACCCAGAGACAGGAGATCACCATATATTACACAAACTGAATGAAATTTTGTTATGATAATCTACCAGGTTCTCAAGAGAATTTGGCCTCAAGAAAATACATGAAATTCACCCAGAGAGGTTTTATAGAGTGAGAATAGACAAATCTTCAATTTCATCAATCCTTAGCAATCTCTCTTTCCTTTCACCTTTTGCATTATTTGTCACTACACTAATCATTTGGAGTTAAATAGGAAGTGAATGTTTGTATCCCCAGCCTTACATATAATATTTGTCACTACACCAGTCATTTGGAGTTAAATAAGAACTAAATGTTTGTATCCCCAGCCTTACATATGGTATTCATGTATAGTTGAGAATGAATCCTAAGCTTCAAACATCCCTACGTCCTATAACCTACTCTTTCTTCCTCCATCACTCAAGCAGCAAGTAAAATGTCATCTCCTCTAAGAATCTTTCTTTAATCAGAAGAGCCATGGCAGTTAGTATCTAACTCATTTGTTTAAAAATGAAATCACCAACTGGTCAATGATGAGTGCTTTAATCTCCTATCATTTCACTATTTATGAAAGCTAGGCATATTTGGCAGAGAAGTGAATACTACATTAGTCTATTCAAAAAGATGGGTCAAAGGTATTGCAGTAGAAGACAGTGCAGAGTGACACTGTAAGGAAGAGGCAATAACAGTGAGAAGACAAGGTGGTATGAATTGTAGATGTGCTAGCTGGATATCAGGTTGGTGCTGAGGAACAGTTCCTGCTACCAGAACCAAGAAGTTATATCCAGACATCAGCCTTGCCTGTCCTGTCCTCAAACTGCAGCATAGCCAAGGGAAGAAAACAATATTTTAATAAAAGAAGCTAAAGTATATGATATACAAGCAGTGGAGTGCATCAAGCCTGAAGGATGAAGTCAAAAATGAAAACAGAATAATTATCATCAGCATTTCTAACAGCTAGGAAGGAAGGTCAGAAGTGGAACAGAATCTGGTAGGAAGACGGACATAAGATCACTACTTCAATATTATACTATAACTTGCAAATACATACAGGAGTTCCTCTTTTAGCCCAGGCTCAAAACACTCAGAAATTTAACACCTTAAGTGGCTACACAAGATTAGATATTAAGAAGCTTGAAAATCTCCCAACTCTTAGAAAACTAAATGAGAAAGAAAATCTAGTTCATATTATACTTAAGAAACCTAGTTATCACTAATAAAAACAGCAACAAACACATATAGCATACACTATGTTTTAAGCACTTTACATATATTAACTCATTTCATCTTCACAGTGATCCTATTATCATCCTCATTATAATTTGAGACACAGAGATATTAATATTAAACCGTGTGCCTGGCTAGTAAGTGGAAGAGTCAGGGTTCAAACCCTGCCTGGCTTCAGTGTCTGTTTTCACTACTGCTCATACTGCTTCTCCTGTCTTCCTTTTCTCCTTCTCTTGCCTCTTTGTATTCCTTGCCTCAATCCTTACTTCTGTTTTTCTCTTTTACCTTCCTCATTCCCATTATTTTTAATTCAACCTAGTGGGAAAGATCAACTATAAGCAGTAAGTACAATATATACTAAGATATAGACACACACACACAGTAAATACTATAACAGACGTATGAATATGAATTATTACCAGAACACAAGGAAGCACTAACTGAGAAAGTCACAAAATGTCTTAGAAAGAAGATGCCACTAATCTCTTTGTTTCCCATTGGCCACTGTTATAATTGCTTTCATTTTAAAATTTAATGCTCAGAACAATTTTATGATAGGTAAGTACTATAATATTAGTATCTTAGTCTTTAGATTAATAAACTGTGGCCCAGAGAATAATTAATTTGTCCAAGGTCACAAATCTATGAAGTGGTAGAACCTGGATTTGAACCCAGACATTCAGACTCCAAGGTTAAAGGCCTTAAACACCAAGCAATATTATTCATTATATGCCAATCTGCATTTAAAAGATAAGGGAAAGCTGCCAGGCACAGTGGCTCAAATGAGGCAAGAAGATTGTTTGAGGCCAGGAGTTCAAGACCAGCCTGGGCAACATAGCAAGATCTCATCTCTACAAAAAAATTTTTTTAAAAGTTAGCCAGATGCGGTGGTGTGTGCCTCTAGTCCTAGCTACCTTGGAGCCTGAGGCAGGAAGATTACTTGAGGCTGTGAGTATGAGATTACAGTGAGCTATGATTGTACAACAGCCTGGGTAACAGAATAAGACCCTGTCTCTAGAAAAAAAAAGAGGGATGAGAGGGGAAGTCACACTGCTTGCTACATATATTATAAGCAAATATGCTATTGTTTAGCTTTAATATATGTTTAAAAAAGCAACTGATTTCCACTTTCTCAAAATAAATATATGAATTGTAAAATGGAAATTATAATTTTTTCTATTCAAGATACTATTCAAAATATTTTAGAATATTAGAACTACACTTAGATACCAAAATCATATCCTTATAACATATCCTTATGTTACATGCCACATTTGAAAAGTTAATAAAATAAGAATTTAAAACTAAAGGTATTCTATACAATAAGCTTGATCTTCATTAGTAGTGCTCAATAAATAATGTAATTAAACTCTCTGTGAGCTATATGATCCTCTATATGAATTATCTAAAGACCATACTGCAAAGTGAAAAATGGCACAAGTCACACACAGAAAATACAGAAAGTTTAGTTTGTCCAATATTAATTATTTTTTATATTACAGATAGATACTGAATTG